GTGATGATGATTAATACAAAATTTAAAAACGTTTCTCACCAAATATCAGACACCGTGGAATATTTGCGCAGTTCCTTTTTAATATACTAAGTATGATGTCAGAAAGCACAAAACATTTAACAATAGTCAATGTATTCCATATATTACTCAGGGTGAATTTTAGATCTTATAAAAAACGAATTGTTATTCCAAATTCTGACGCGCTTACATGAAAACATAAATAAAAAATGAGAATGAAACGTTTCGAACGTTCCAGTTGCCGTGTGCAATATTATGAAAATACTTTGAAAGCTCAAAAAAATGTTGACTGATGCTTGAATTGAAACGGTTGCTATCGTCCGAATATTAATTGGTGTTTTCATTTAGTATAGATTTGCATTTTAAAATCTACCTGGTGATTCAATAATGTGTAATTATTATTTGATGACTTAGTGTGTCTCCTCCCATGTGCTCAGTGCTCCATGTATACCGCAATGCGCAGAGTATCGATTCAAAACCGTTGCCAGCTTCCGCTGTGCCAAGGGCATGATTTTGTTTTCGTTTGCAACCTAGCCTTCTATATAAATTATTAAACTCAATTTTCAATATAAAATACTTGCTTTAGTTCATGCTATGATAAATTTATTATTAATCTTATTAAATAATTATTTCAATATCATTAATTTAAATTAAACTTCTCTTCACATTCTGGATTTATAATTACATTAGCGACTTAAGGAAAAAATAATTTCTATCAATGAATTACTACAACATAACGTCACTCATAACATTTAATACATAATAAGCGAACATGGTGGGTGATTTCACTTCATTGTATGGAAAGGCTCACTATTGTACACATACATGTACATATATTCAACGGTGGTAGGGCCACGCTGCAGCCTCGGCTGTTGCACGAATGGGCAGGCTCATCCGGGTAAGTACCACGACCTCACAGAGGACCAGCGTAAAGTGGAAGTGTGACAAATACTTTCGCGTTTCGTCTGGTGAGTGCGGTTATCAAAAGGTTGTCAACGCATCTGTAACCTTCAGGTGTGGCAGATGTCCATGGGCGACGGTATTCACTTAACATCAGGTGAACCGTCTGCTCGTTTGACAACTTTTCGCATAAAACAAAATAAAAAAAATATATATACATGTTATCAATTCAATACAATGCTCAGATTTTATTTCCCACTAGCAAATTTACTTAATTTTCATTTCCTTAACAATGACTATTGATTTTCGTGATGCTTTTGTTACCAGATTTAATAATTTTCAATTATTAGTATATTACTGAGGGGCTGACCTTAGTGGCCTATTTTAGTATAGTTACTGTTTATTAGTTAGCGCCACCGTTTTAAATATGTACTTGGTTGTCCTCTATACAAATCCAGAATGATCTATCAGAGCTCCAACAAAAGAACATCAAAGATCGAAGATTGGTTTAAGAAATTTAAAGCTTTAACACTTTATATACACAGGAACAACATAACCTACATAAGGCTTCAAAGCTTCTATGTTCTATGTTAATCAAATATGCGGCAACGATTTAAAAGCCTTTCGCATTTTCCTTCGATGCGACCGTGAAAATGAATTTTAAATGTCATTCGCACCTCCGAATATTTTGCCAGTTTAGACTTGAATAAATATCATTCCGGGGGTTGCCAGCCTAATTTTGATTATTTCAAACGCCAGCCTCAGTATAAAGTCTATCCATAATGGATGCCTCTTAAGCACATCGAGTGCTCTCAATAAGTGCGTTAAAGTAAAATCTCGGCTTAATGGATAGCCATCCAAAGGGATTCCGAAAGGTTAAATAATTTATAAACATGCCTTGAGTTCTTTGAAAGGCTAAGTCGAAATTTTGATGCTGAAACTTTCAAAAACACGTTTAATATTAGATGTCGTGATTTTTACCAAGCCGTTGCAAACGCAGCTGTTCCTCCTCTTGCAAGTGGGCAAGCTCCTTGTGGGAGGTACGACGGCACCAGATCGGCGTGAAGTGAATTCTCGTGAGTCATGTAACTGGGCCCACTTCTATTATTACTCGTACCTTCTGACATAAAAAAAAATCACTAGGATTTATTATTTACAGTAGTACTACGGATGGTTATGCCACTTGCTTCAAAAAATGTTTGTGGCAACATTCCTAGGAAGTTTCTTATTTTCCAGCAGTATTTACTATTTTAAAGGGAAAAAGTTCCAAAACTAATTAATATCCCTAGAATTACTGATGAGACGTACAGATGTTATGTAATGCAAAGCTCGCTCGTGTGGTGTAGGGCGATGAAAACAGTACAATTAACTTTGCCAATCGCAATCTATATAGATTTTTATTTTAATACACAGAATAATATTATTTAAAGCCAAAACTTTGAATTTCTTCACTTTTAAAAATGAGCGCACCGAAAAGTGTGAGACGTGGCGGATCTACCGCAATAGTAATTTTCTAATTATCCCTGTTTAGGGATAGGGATAATAATAATCGCTATAAATCTCATAAGTTTCATTTATACTGTGTAATCGCGTAAATACAAGAAATAATCCGTAGTCTGTACTCAAACTGTAGGAGAGATAAATATCTGACATTTAGTTTGACTGAATGAGAGGAAAATAATCGTTCATTAAGTAAATATTTCGAGATCCTACAATTGACAAGCGTAAAAGAACCAGCTGTCCATATTTATCAGTTTTCAAATTTCCTATTTTACTAGAATTTACCAACGACCCAGACAACAATATCAGTTTGGAAGTGGTTCAGTAGTTTACATTTATATTCGATGCATAATGATATTTAAAATATGGATTTGTAAACCTGATACGGCTACAATCATTAACAGCTAGGTGAACAATGAGGATTTAAAGCTTGTCTTAATCTGTTATTTAAGATGACGAGGGACGACAGTTAGGGATCGAGGTAACGGAATAAGGGCCTACAGCCCCTTGTGAGCGCGTAACATAAGTAACGTAAATTTGCCGCTGCCCCAACTAAAACAATGAGATAACTTAACTGTGTAAATATTTTCTTAATTAAATTAATTAAAGAATTCACATATTGTTTAAATTAACAACTAATATCATAAATCAAAGGCATTTTTTTATTATTATGAACTAGCGACCAGCTCCGGCTTCGCACGGATGCAATGTTTTACGTATATAAACCTTCCTCTTGAATTACTCTATCTAGTAAAAAAAAAACCGCATCAAGATCCGTTTCGTAGTTTTAAAGATCTAAGAATACATATGGGCAAACAGACAGCGGCACGACTTTGTTTTATACTTTGTAGTGAAGCGCAAAGAGACTTCTTTAGATTTCAAGTGACATATTGCCACAGTCACTCACTTGTTTTCCTTCTCGGAACCCCTCCACTAACACTTAAACTTTATAGTATGGTATTAAAGTTCAAATTGACTCTTAAGTATTATTACGAATCTCTTGTGGAATATAGAAAAGTGTTTTTCAGGCAATTTTTTAAATTTTTCTCTCCTCGTGCTTCAAGGAATATTCAAGTAAAAAAAGAATTAGCGAAATCGGTTCAGCTGTTCTCGCGATTTGCGCTTAGCAACACATACAGCGATTCATTTTTATATATCGAGATTAAACATACTACATTTTAATAATATACGAGTAGTGCTTTGCAACCAAGCCAACGAATTCATCTCAAACATTCAGATTTGCACTGAGATCTGTTATATAGTGTTCATGTAACGTGCGATTGCTTTTTCTTTGTTTATGAGAAAAAAACGTATAACTTTCAATGTTTTAAATACGTTCATTTTCAAAAACATGGATTGTATATGAAACAATATAACGACCCCTTAATTCTGCAAAAGCCAAAAGGTTTGTTTACCTGGCTCCAAAAATTGAAGGATCTAATCCTATTAATTACGAGAGGACTTAAATTTAAAATACCAATAATAATAATAAGTGTAGGACGAGCCGTCCGTGCGGAAAATCAATGGATTAAGATCGTGTTTCGTTCAGTTTGTAGGGGATATGTTCAGCAGTGGACTCAAATATTATATGATGGTGATATTTATTTTTTACTATTTTATGGCCATGGCGTAGCGTCTTACAATAATGGGCCGACTCATTAAGGACCGCGACTTAGCAGAGCCGCACAGAAGACCAGCGTGAGGAGCAAGGATTATACTTTTGCGTTTCGTCTGGTGTGTGAAGTAACTAGGGCCTATATCTTTGAAAGTTGGTAATGCATCTGCCAGCTCACAGCAGATGCAGTTGTCCGATATCTATGGTTGGCAGTTATCACTTAATCAGGTGCACAAATATACAGCTCGCTTACCAAATTTTTGCAAAAAAGTTTTTCCAAAGGACAGGGTTTGCGGTTGCAAGAAATATCCCGCATTATATTTTATGCCTTCAAAAATTCTGCTTTTAAAGAGTAATTTTTTTTCTACTGCCATAGAATCTCTTTTTTTTTAATTGTACTCTTCCAACTCCATCTAAATGTTTATTTAACATAAATCTTAGTATCTTAAACTATAACAAATAATAATATATTTCCTAAGTGCCTTTGGGAAAGAATAGAAACATTATTTAAACTGTATATCAACAACGTTGTCCTAAATCAATAACGGTTCGGTTCGACTAGAAGTTAATTTGAGGCAAAAATTTCAATTATAGGACACGGCGCGTTTGTTCTATCTCGTAGAGTGAAAAGCTTCCGCAAAATGCGTTATTTCATTCTAAAGCTCATTAAGATGCGTGTTTCGTTTCAGGTTCAATCAACACTAGATGTACCACATCAACTGTGTACATAGGTATATTAATACAAAGGGCGATGCTTAATCTAATGGGACAATCTACATGTCTGACTGCTTTTATAAATGTGTATGGACAACCTAAGCGATTGCGAAAGCCGCAGATTTGCTTTCAATTAATATATAATTTACTTCATATAAATTCATTACTTCACATAATGCGAATTAGTTTGTTAACGTAAATTAATAGAATAGAAGAAAATATCATAATTATTTATTTTAACAATAAGCCATCATGTCTTACCCTGAGGGTGTCGTAAGAGGCAACTGGAGGATAAGCCAAAAACAGCCGGTGGCCTCTGAAAGATGACGTTTACGGCGATACTCAGATCAATAAACAGCAGCAGCGTCTTAGGTGCGGGGCGTCGGGAACCCAAAATGTGCGACCCACAGTCCCTAGCAGCCTTGCTATTCCTGGCTACGGTATCGGTCATGGTAACGGCAAGGCAGGGGGTGCGCATATTCTCCGGCTGGGCTGGGAAGCTCAAAGTCGCTGCGCGAGCTATGAAGCGCACTATGCTCGGCATTTCTCATGCGTAATAGAGTTCGTAATGAAGACATCCGCAGTGGAAGAAAGATAGTTATCTTTCTTCCACTGCGGACTGCTAAGAACTGAACTGACATAGCTAAGAAGATTAGTAAGCTGAATTGGCAATGTGCGATATAGCTCGTTGAATCGATAACCGATGGATAAGCAAGGTTTTAAAGTGGCAGTTTGGTACTGACCATCGCAGTGTAGGTCGACTACCCACTATTGGAGATATGAAAATGTACGGGATGTCGAGGGATGCAGGTGACTCTGGTTCGTGTTTCTGTTTCGTGGCAGTCTGGAGTCAGTGTGGAGGAATTCTATCTTCAGCAGTGGACTCTAATAGATATAAATGAATATCAATTTTATAATTTGACTCTAAATTATAATTAACTAAACTAAACTCTAAAATAAATTAGGCTTAAATGACTTGTGTAATCCATTTCTAAAAAAACAGTAAGAATCGATTGTTAAGAAATTGTTTGAGTTAGAATTGTAAGTAAAAAGTTAAGCTGACTTTTAAAGATAGCAACTTCCTCGAATTTTAAGTTGTGATGGCTGCTAATGCGAATAATTTAGTTACACGCTGACTTTACTGGGAGCCTTTCGCTTTGCAACTTTTGTATTTATTAAGCTGTCGTCATATTCACGCGCAAACTTTTAAATCGAGTTGATTGTTTGACATTTTTCAGTCCTATTTTTCACGTGGAAAACAGAACCGGAACGGACATTTCATCAAAACTAAGTTACTTTGTCGCTTAGTTTCTGTGAAACGCGTCACACTTAAAATTTCACGTCGTGCGTAAACTTATGAAAATTGGTAAAATTAACTATAAAATATATTTATATATATATTTATATATATATATATATATATATATATATATATATATATATATATATATATATATTTTTTATATATATATATATATATATATATATATTTATATATATATTAAAAGGCCTACCTTGGTACCTGAAAAATTAGTTTCTTGTTAATGTGACCCAAAACAAAAACAGATAATAGCTTATTATTGGGTCCTTTTACGGGCAATCGGGTTATATCGAGGGTTCTCTAATTATAAGTATCTGAATTTAAACATTATAAAATATAAAAGTAAATAGTGGCATTTAGTGGAGTATTAAATATTTATCATAGCCTTAAATTATGTAATATATTATAGGTTGCTTTGTAAATCACTCTAAAAGGCACCAAAACCATATGCTGTTCCATTTCACCAAATATTACCCTTTGTTCTGGTACTGTGATTTCATGAAATCGTTGAAATCATAAATTTAGGAATAAAATACCGAATATTAAAGTTTGCTGGATTCTTAGTTTACTAAAGAACAACTGATTTTATTTTGGATAAAATTATACAATCTTTTTATTTGAAAAGGGGTTTTCAAGAACTTTTAATTGACCATAAACGTATGTCGCTGTCTCGTTTTGTGACCACATTATATTGTTAATAATCAAAACCATATCAAATAATCACTCCTCGAGCAGAAGATTGCAAGATTGAAATGCGCCAAGTAATAATTTAACGTTATGGTATTTTGAAAAAAAAAATGTGTATTTTACTTGTATAAGCAGTTGAAGGTTTTTATCCTTATTATCTTCCTTATTATCTTTTTTATCCTTATTATCTTATAAAATTAGGGAAATGGAAAATCAAATATAAAATCAAATCTACGATTAATGTTTCGTAGGGGAATGAAGTTGTGTTTTAAAAACATAGTTTATCTAAAGCAAGTTATGAAATGAAAGCTAAGGATTATAATTATATATATTTGTTATGTTTGAATAGTGTGGGTAAACTGAGAATAATCAGTGTGTGTCGTCCGTTTATTAAACGAGCATTGAAGTCAACGTATATTTCGTGTTTTCTTGTATTTGAATACTCCAAACATAACAATATTAAATAGTGATAAATGAATTAAGAGGATCTCTTCTGATCGGATGGACTATTAAACATGTTCGTAGATGACGCCGGCGGTAATGAAGTAGCCATAATAAAAAAAAAAATTATGTTGTTTTTAGTTTAGGAAGTGGCCATAAATCTTTTTGGGGGTAACAACTGAAGAGAGAGTTTATCTTAAGGTGTGTGAGAATCGCCACCCACGTTAAAAAGTTTAAAGATGTTGCTATTGTGTTAGCAAATATAAAAAAGCCTTCTGCTAGCTGTGGTACTTACCTCATCTAGCTGATTATAGCAGATTTAGCATATTTGAGCAGCTGGAGCCGTTGTAGGTGTTGGTATTGCGTGAATCGAGAGGTGTAGTGGGTGTAGTGAGTAGTGCCTCTTGCCGCAGAGGGTATGGGTTCGAAAACATAGTGTTTTTCAAGTATCTGGGTGTTTATACATTTACATTATGTATTTATGTACCAAAAAATTATGTTTATTAGTTATCTAGCACCCAAATTTAAACCACAATTATTATTATTTAAACCACCATTGTAAATATTTGTAAGTATTACAATAACACTAGCTGCTGCCCGCGACTACGTCTGCGTAGAGGGGTGAAAATTGAGGATTGTATGTATTTTTGTATGTTGTATCATAAAAAAATAGAAATTAAAAATTTTGTCTAAAAAATAAAAAATAAATTTAGGAGTGGACTACCCCTAACATTTAGGGGATAGATACCGGATAAGCACAAAACATTTCATCAAAATCGGTCAAGCCGTTTCGGAGGAGTATGGCAACGAAAACTGTGACACGAGAAATTTATATATTAGATTTGATGTAAAAATATAGAATAAAATACAAATAAAATATAACGTGGCCGTTACTTGATTTATATATACTAGTAGCGACCCTCCCCGGCTTCACACGGGTGCAATGTATTATACATATGAACCTTCCTCTTGAATCACTCTATTATTATTATTATTATATACTTTATTGTACACCACAAAGAATTTGATACAATTAGTATGAAATAAGTCTTAAAAGCTAGGTACAATAAGGCGGTCTTATCGCTAAAAAGCGATCTCTTCCAGACAACCTTAGGACGAGGAAAAATAAACTAATGAATAGTGGGAGGTGGTGTGCTCAATAAACTTACTTAATACCAAAATAGACTTAAATATAATAAGATAAACAAAATTATAATAAACATACATAAACATAAATAAATATATAATATATATAAATAAATACACGAGAGAAGAATTAAATCTGAATATTGCCATTAAAAACTATGGATTACAAAGCGATAGGTAATGTTGTTTTTACGTCAATTTTAAACTTGTCTAGCGTCTTCGAACGATGAATTTGCTGAGGAAGTTCATTCCACAAGCAGATGGCCTTAACTGTAAAGGAGTTCTTATAATATTTAGTTTTGTACGCATGTGGTGCTAAAATTAGATCTTCAGCTGATCGCAGAACTCGTTCTGGATGGTTATGGCCAAGAAACTTAAAGTGTTCCTTTAAATAGCTAGGACTCCACTAGGGTTAAATAATACACAGTACAGAAGAGAGACAGTGTGTAGATTCCGGCGAAAACGAATGGGTAACCACTTGAGCATTGAACGAAATTCGGAAACGTGATCATATTTGCGTAAACCAAATATGAACCTAATGGCTAAATTTTGAATACGCTCAAGTTTATTTAGTTGTTCTTCGGTTAAATCAAGATAGCTTGCATCCGCATAATCGAGAATGGACAGGAGTAAGGATTGTGCTAGCATAATTTTAGTTGGAATGGGAAGAAAAGAACGTAAACGACGGAGAGAACCCATCGCAGCAAATGTTTTTCGGCTCACTTGATTCAATTGTTCCGACCACGAGAGGGAATTGTCAAATTGGACACCAAGATTTTTCACAGTGGTGCAGTACGGTATTATAACGTCATTTAATTTTACCAAAGGAAGGTTATTCCAGTCAACTCTTGAAATCAAACCAACACCACCAACAATAATAGCCTGGGACTTAGTAGGGTTAACATTGAGACCATAGATTTTACTCCATTCACTGACAGCGGCCAGGTCATCATTGATGGCGGAAACAGCAGTAGGCAAGTCTTCAAGAGTTGACTGTGTGTACACTTGGAGATCGTCTGCATACATGTGATAGAGAAAAGTGATTTTTTGAGAAATTGAATTAATGAATACGGCAAATAGAAGAGGAGACAACACACCACCTTGAGGCACTCCGGCGCGCAATTCACACCAAGACGAGAATTCATCCTCTATGCGAATACGCTGCCGTCGGCCACTTAAATAACTTTGAAACCAGCCAATCACTAGTGGAGATATGTTAATAGAACGTAACACACTCAACAGAATGTCAAAATCAAAGGTATTAAATGCATTACTAAAATCTAGCAACACAAGTACAGTGAGCTGTTTATTATCCATACCCCGTCGAATGTCATCAGTAACTTTAACCAACGCTGTAGTCGTACTATGACCTGATCGGAAACCGGATTGAAGAGGATTAAGAAGAGAATTTTTGTTCAGATAGAGATTTAACTGTTGGAAAACTAGTTTCTCTAGAACTTTAGACAGGAACGGGAGAATAGAAATAGGACGAAAATCGGAAAATTGCAATGCATGGGCTTTCTTAGGGAGAGGAGTCACTTGAGCACTTTTCCAAGCTTCGGGAAACTTGAATGAAGAGATTGATGCGTTAAGGATATGGGTGATAATAGGAGTAATAAAGTCAAGGATAGGTAAAATCATATTACGACTAACGTTGTCGTCACCAACGGCATTAGACGAGATTGATAATATGTTCTTCTTAACATCACACTCAGTGAAAGGAATGAAATTAAACGGTGGAAATTCAGGAGCTGGCATGGAAGAAAGAATGTTCAGAGTGCGCGACTTATCTGAAATATCTAAGGAACTAGAAGAGGTGAAATATTCATTAAGGAGTTCAATATCTATATTATGGTGAAGCAAACTAGAAGACGCTTTACCAACTCCAAGAGATTGAAGAAATTGTCAAACTTTGGCAGGGTCGCCGTTTTCGACAGATTTGTGAATGT